GTTGCTGTCCTTTTGTTCTTCAGTCTAGTTGTGGAGGATGTTGCTTCACTGGCCCAAGCTGGCACCATCATTGCGCTCTTCCCAGTCAAGGCAGATCTGTCGCTGGCTTCTGGACGGCCACTCACGGCGACTGCTGGCCCCTCACGCTGGCTGCTGGCTACACACGGTAGCCCATGGCAGCCCAATGCAGCAGGGGCTGCAGCCCATGCCGTCGCCGGCAACTCATGGCAGCCCAGCTCCAGGTTGAGCTGTTGTTTAGCATCTTAGCTGTGGAGGGCAGTGTCACTGGCCCTCATATGTGGGATCTGAACCGGGGCTCTCTGGCATCCCAAGCCAGTTCTTAACCAACACACCACTCGGCCAGCCCAACACCATAACAGTCTTAAATGAAACAATACAATGCCCCAAACCAAACATTTCAAAAACTACAGATTTCTATAACAAACCTACCTAGTTTCTGAGTTTTAAATCAGTAGTTGTTTGAAGATAATTATTAAAGTAAACTTCTAATACAGGAGAATCTTAGTTCTTTTCAGTAAGTGAACTCAACTTTCTGATAAGGTAAAGAATTAATAGAGATTCAAATTAGTTTTATGAGAATGAGCCTGTAAGTAGTTTTTAACCCTCTCTTACCTTTCTAAACAAAGTAGAAAAGCCAACTCAGTGCTCTGCATTCTGAAAAGCATTTGCATCAACAATGTCTTCACTCAGAATTCCTCAGTCAATTCCGCTGAAGTTGGATGCCTGGGCTAAACCTAAGTGTTTGGGAGCCATTCTGTCCCATGTCCACATCTGCAAGTGGAGAAGTGCTGTGTGTTTGCTAGTTTACACTCTGATGAGTTGAACCTACGTCCTGCACTTGGGAGAGGCATTGAGGCCTTGCTCTGCTTTGTCTGCTTTTGGTCAGAGGCCAGCGTTTGTGAAGCCAGCCCCTCAGGAAGTGGAGGTGCCCACCATACACCCCACAAACACTTGTGACTATCAGCAATTACCTCCCTCCAGTGGCAGGAAAACCTTTCTGCCTGCAAACACCTGTTCTTGTTGCCTCGGCCTGGTCGCCCTCCTATGGGAGTGTGCTTGGATTTTGGCCTCACAAATTTTTTTTTTCTTTAATCTGTGTCTTTAAAGAATTCTCTACTGCATCTGCGTTCTTGATTGCATCACTGCATCACTATACACCATATATTACTGATGGTTAGCACATCCTTTCACTGAAATAACATGTTTTCTCAACTTAGCAAACAAGTATTACTTTAGAAACTTCTTTTGTACGTGTCTTTTAAACGCTGCACTTCAGGTATCACACAAAGCTCAACACATCCACTCACTGTATTACACTGTGCTTGTCATTGGCAAGCAAGTAATCATGAAATCTTCTATTTCACATGTGTTTTCAAACACGGCACTATAGGCATTATAAAAGTAGCACTCTTAGAAACATCTCAAAAACATCCTTTAATGAAGACCCTGGGATGAATGGATCATGACCTTAAATTATGTTCCTTTCCTAGTCACAACAGCTTCCTCCAGAAGTCCTTAGTTGAGTGGTAATTTCTCTTGGAGAGCTTCATTTGGCAATAATACACCCAGAAATCTCGCTTCATGCTGTTCCCTGTAAGTTTTTAAATGGGCAACATTTTATCTCTCTTTCTCAGCACCTTGGTAAATGCTACAAGAGAGAACCAATGCTTTCTAAGAGCTTTTCAGTTTCCTAAAATGTTGTCATCTGTGAATAAATATTCTGATTCTCCAAAGAAAATGTGTTAGACATAAACCCTCCAGCAACCTAGCAGCATGCCCTTAGGATCTATCCAAGAGAAATAGACATATGTCTATGCAAAGAGAAATAGACACACATCTACACTAAAACTGTACATGGATGTTCTTAGCAGCTTTACTCAATGCAAAAAGTGCAGACAGTGCAAATGCCCATCAGCCGGTAGATAGATAAATGCACTGTGGTACATAAAAGGGAATATTACTCAGCCATAAAAAAGAATGGCACATTGACACACACTCGACATGGGTGAACTGCAGAAACATTGTGTTACATGAAAGAAGCCAGATGTGTAAGATATGTACTGTAGGCTTCCATTTACATGACACATCTAGAAAAGACAAGTCTATAGGAGCAGAAGGTATAATAAAGGAGCAGCTGCTCAGGGGTGGGAGCAGGATGGGATTCACTACTGGGAGGCACAGCAGATCTTTCTGGAGTGATGGAAATGTTCAAAAACTGGATCGTGGTGATAGGGGCCCAACTCTGGAAATTTACCAAAAATCAATTGAAGAAAAGAGGAGGAATTCTCTAAAGAGAAAAGGAAAGCAGAGATGCAAGTTCAACCTTCTTAGCCAAAAACAGCAGGATGACTACTGGCTGGCTGGCTTGTCAGGGAGCAGCTGCCACCTGCCCCCTGTTCAGCCCCTACAGAGACCAGCCAATGCTGCGGTTTTCTGAGGGTCTGGCAACTGCCACATTCCACTCTTGTTATCAACTTCTAAGTTACATAGAACTTTAGTTCCTACTTAAAGAAACTCAGTAAGTCAGCATGGAAGTTTTTCACAAAGGCCAAAGCAGCAGTATTTCAGAAGCAATCTATAGCCCAAACTGGGCTTCTGTAGGAAATGCAGGAAGGTCCTTCTCTAGTTTTTTTAGTTTGGTTCTCTACACACATGCTTTATTTTTCTCTCAAGCCACAGAGCAGCACAGAGCAGCACATAGTACGTTTGTCTAGGCAGACACAAGTAACATCGTGGAAAGTGACAGTCCCATTAGCTGCTGTATTTACTTCTTCACTGAGACTGAGTCTGAATTCCGGGGAAATGACTCACCTGCTGACATTGGATAGGTACCCCTCCTCCTGTGTCAGGAGAAGTTTCCAGAATAGCCAGAATCACTGATTCAGGCAGTTACTATCAGGAGGGTCCAAAACTGGTATCACTGCAGACCGTGATAGTGTTTGCTAATTGTTACTAATGAATATAGGTCCTCGAGTCCAAGTCCAGGTTGAATGCGGGTGGGTGGGCTGGATGGAGGAGTATGAGGTTGCGTGCAAAGGTCTACTACCTAAACTTTGTCCTTGTCTCAAGTTAACACACAGCATGTCCTTCCTTTCGCAGTGGATTTACCCACGTGGAAAGTGACAGCATGAGCATTGTAGGCGTGGAAGCCAGAAGTGTCGGCATGAGTATTCTAAGGTCCTATTACTTCCAAGTGCAACAGGGCTGAGATGACTACATCGATTGAAGATCATCTCACTTTGGTGAAGAGCTTGTATACATACAAAGATTAAAATGATTATTTTATCAACATTGGGAAAGGAATTAGTAATTCTGAAATACTACTAGGGCCAGTATTGTGCTATGTGAGTTTATTTTTAAATCCTCACAGCAAGCCAATGAAGTAGGTATGATTGTCTGTTTTTCAGACAAAGAAGAGGAAATACAACAGGAAAGTCATTAACCCATTGTTAGCTGTGGTCCAGCTGCCTAGCAACCTGCCCAGGGCTATTCAGATTGTGGCAGAGAGGAGAGATGCCAGATGGGGGGCTAGAAAGCCAACACTTACACTACTGGGATTGTAACAATTGCTTGTGTTGTTCAAATATGTATTTTTTATCTTCATATTTTGTGTAATGTGCTTCAGACACACATTAATAAATAATACTTGCCGTCATATAGATGAGTTTTGTGGCACCATGTCGCATAGCTGTAGGGAGACTTGTATTTTATGACAGTGGTGCCTCTGGACTTGGTCTACACAGAAGCCCTGGCTGGTGTAGTAGGCGTGTCATTCAGAGTTCTTATTGCAAACAAGAGAACAGCCAGCTGGCTAACTTAACACCAAAAAGGGAATTTATTGGAAGGAAAGAGTAGCTCACTAGGTCAATGGGAAGGCTGGAGAAACAGGCTTGGAACCAAGGGGAGCCACGCAGCAGGCAGCAGTGAGGAGCTGCTCCACTGAGGTCTGGCTTGGACCATCCCATCTCTGCTGCTGGCAACACCGTGCCCCTCTGGCTCTACCCTATTGCTGCCACTGTACTTCAGTCACTGCCACCAGCTGAAAGTTTCCCAGCTTCCCCGGAGGGAATGTGATGACTCAAGACTTGGAACACCAGGGGTGTGTGTGTGTATGTGATTTGCTGACTAGGTCACATGCCCACAACCTCAAGGCCAGGATGCAGAGTCTGGCCCCCTCAGCTTTGGTAGTAGGTGCTCCCAACCAAGACTTGCAGTGAATATTTCTTCAAAAGTAGGAAGGAAAGATTCCTCAACAATAGAAAATAAGGATACAAAGCTCTCTACCTGTCTACTACCGCCATGGCTGCCCACTACCCAGATATGCTCTATTTCGTATATTTGCACTTTAATAACATTTTTTTAACCTAACAGCAACTAATATGCTGCATAGCCACGACCAGATGCAATCATTACCCCAAAAGAAAATCCAAAGCCTTTTTTTTTTTTAAACTAAGAGAAGGTTTATTTGGGGATAATTTTAGACTTGAGAAAAGCTGCAAAGACAATACAGACAACTCCCATGTGCTCCTTACGCAGCTCCCCCTCGCGGTAACACCTTACATAACCGGGATGTTTGAAAACCCAAGGTCTTTGTTAGCTCTTAGGGGTGTGTACCTCTTTCAATTCCATCACAGTGATGCTTGATATTCTAAAACGCGTGGTCTGATTGGTGATGTAGTACTAATGCATGCTAAATACAGCAGAAGGGGAAAGGGAAAGGGGAGGAGAAATTAGCTGCAATAAATACAACACAGCAAGAAGGGAAAATAGCTGTTACATTCAGAAGATGAAGGGGAACTTCAGGTAAGCTGAGATACTGGGGGTTTTGCTGAAGACAGGGAAAGGGGCTGGAGGTTTTGGCAAGAGGTTGCAGATCAGATAAGGGAAAGTTGAATGTATGGGTCCCCTGAGAGGCTTGGACACATGGTAACTAGGAAGACAGCTCTGGTCATTTCTTAGAGGAAGGCAGCTAATCAGGCCCAGGCAGTCTGTCCTCAGCTGCAGCATTAGAGTGGGGTCGTGTTGGTTTGGAGGCCCCACTCAAGCTCTTGTGCAGCTGTAGGGACCCTGCTGTGGGCGTGTGGGAGGCTTGGAAGGGAGTCTCCATGGGAACACGGGAAGTGCTGGGAGCTCCTGTGAATCTTGCTGAGCTGTGTGCTAAGTCCCGCAGATGAGCTCTTACCAGGAAAGCATGGTCTACTGAGGTTTGGTGCTGTGGCCCCGCAAAGACACACTTAGGAAGTATGCTATGCTCTCACGCCCTGTACATCCAAGTTCTGAAGACTTCCTTTACAGTACGCAGTGGGCACCGTGCAGCTGGGGGACATGACAACTTCACTGGCCCCTCTTGAGTCCTACAGAAGCATGTGGGTCTCTGTGAGCCTTCCTCAGATCTTCCGCTAACTCCTGATGTAGCCTAAGCTATTCTGTATTAAATATAAAACAATGAAAAAAATCTTCCCAGTGCTTGGCGACGAGTGACATCTTTACAAATTACAAAATATAATTGCTAACCATAATCCAAATTCCTTTTTAAAAAAGAGTCCCTTTGAATACATACACACATAGGATTTAAAACATTTTTAAAACATAGATGCAATAAATAGAAATAAAATCTCAAGGAAACTGGGATAGAAAATTTTCTTAACCTAATAAAAGGAATCTAAAAGAAACAGCAAACATATTTAATGATAATTAGAAAAATTTCTACTGATGTTAGGAAAATGGAAGACATTGCCACCCTAACTAAGTATTGCCCTGGAGGTGCTAATAAATGTAATATTTTTTGAAAAACCAAAATTAAGCTCTAAAAAATTAGAAGTATATTTACCATAATTTCTAAACAGTACTATCTCTAGAAACACAAGAAAATTATTAGAATTAGTAAGCAAAATTCCTCATGATTGGTGAGTAGGTACATATTAAAATTAGTGTACCAACAATTAGGAAAAGTATCCCATTCACAATAACAGCAGGAACTATCATATCATGGAATAATCTTTAACAAAAAAACTTTATGGAGAAAACAAAGCTTTTCTAAAGAATAAGGAGATTCCATGTTCATTGATAGAAGAATTACTTTTTTAAAGTGACCATAAATTGAAAGCAATAGCAATAAAATTGCTACAGTTTTTAAAGTAGAATGTGAGAAAATGATTATAAAATGTATATGGAGCTATAAAGGTACAAGAATAGTCAAGACAATCTTGCAGAAACAAAAGGACAGAGGACGGCGAGACCTGCCCTGTGAGTTATGAAGACAAAGTGGTATCAGTGAACGAACACACAAGCAGCACAGAGGATCAAGAAATGGACCCAGGTGTATTTTGAAATTTGGTATACAATATAGGTGACATTTCAAATCAGAATAGAAAAATAATGCATCAGTGTATTATGTTGGAAGTACTAGCTATCCAAATGGAATAAAATCAGATTCCTTCCTCATAACCATGCACAGGAATAAGTTTCTCATGTGTAAAGGATCTAAACAAGAAATAAAATTACAAAGGAAACTTGCAGAAAAGCAGAGGCCTTTAAAGCAGAATAATACAAAAGCAAAACCCGTAATGTCTATGTCATAATTTAAATCCTTTGTCCAAGTGACACCATAACCAAAAGTAAAAGAGATGCCATTGATAGCAGCTCAAAAAATGAGCTAACAGGAAATGTAATTTACAGGAGAAGGAACCAAATCAAACCCTAAAATATAGGATAAAATTATCAAAATTGTTAGTAATCACAGCAAAATAAAACAATGACAGCACTGTACACTATTAGGCTGGCCATAAAAGGGAAAAGTAGAGAAAGCTAGATGATGCCAAGTGTTTGCAGGCATATGGAGATACAGTACCCTAATGATGGAGGCTGCCTTTCCCCTGTTCACAGTCTGAAGGTCTTGGCCAATCCAAGGTATATGTTCCAGTAGTGCAATGCGTCCATGGCAGGTTGAGGGTTACAGTTCTCAGCTCCCCAATTCATCTCCCATTCTGGTCAACACCAAGGTTGCCTTCTCTGTCATTCGTGCAATTGGCAGTGGGGGTGGGTAGGTTTACATCCTAATCTCCTTGACTCTGACAGTGCAGTTTTTGAGGTCCTGGCTTAGTGTGGACCGATTGCTGTGCACCTCCAGTTACTCCATCCAGCACCAAGGTGGCTGCGGTGTGTGTCTCAGTCATCCCCCAAAGTGGGGGCACCCTGGTGCAGATGATGTGCCAACCATGGGAGAGAAGGAAGTGGTTGGGGGGATGGATTTTATACATGTGTCCCAACTCAGCCCACGCTCTGTACCCCTCAGGTCCTCCCATTATACACATCTCTCCAACTACACCATGAGGCTTCCTCCATTGAGAATGAAGTGTGATCAGAGTCCCAGTTCTGGTCTGGAAGCCTAACAACAAGAGTGTTAGTGAAAAAGAGATAGAGTCCCCTCTGCGGGATTCCCTTCACTCTGATGGTACTTTGGGCAGTCTCGGCTGTTTACTTGGTGGGGTGACCCTGACCTTCATCCCCAATGTGCTCGTTGAGATTCATTTCTGGGTATGTCAGTTTGGAGAAACCACGGTTATGTCTAGGTTCCAGACACACTCCATCTTAGTCCCGTTACATACTAGCAATACTAGTCCCTGATTGTCAGTTATAACCCCAGTCATGATAGTCACTCTTTTCTTGGCCTGTTAGGCCACTGACAAAGAAGAGGGTAGTCAGGTGGTCATCACAGCTCCCACTTAAAAGGAAAATTGCTATGACTCTGAAAGAATTGTCTCCATTCCTACCTCCAGGAACTAGGACCTGTAATCACTGAGAGCCCAAGGTTAGCTAATGAATGAATGAAAGCAGTAGTCCCATTTGGTACTCGTTTCCTCCAAATTCAAATTTCAAAGAGACCCACCAAAACTTTTTTTTTATTGGATTATTCTGTTTCATCCCCACCCCCACTTTTTTAAATTATTAGTTTCAGGTGTACAAAACAATGTACATTATACATTTCACCCCTCACAAACTGATAGCCACCCCCTCCCAAAATATTTTTTTTTTAAGTGGTGAGATATTTGAGGTGCAGCAACTTGTTCTTCACCTGCGAAGAAACGTCCAGACATGCCTTTGACCTTCCCAGTGCATGGTGACCCTGGCCTACTAAGGACCCTCAGGGTTGGAGTGGTGATCCAGGTGCTTTTTGACCTGCAGAGATCTGAGGTGGTGTCTGATACACCACAGTTCCCTAGGGGTGATATAAATGGAGAACGAATGAGAGTGCTATTTATTTATATAAACAGAAAAAACCTGAGAATTAGTGAACTAGATGTCTTCTACCTCAGTGGAAAGTTAAGGTCCCACACCCAATTTCCAGCTCTAAACTTACAGATCCAGAGCACACTGACTGAAGAGAAGGTCAGTCCCCCTTGAGTAAAGTTCCTGTAACTCCACCACAAACGTGATGGAAGCTGCTAGATGGCTTCAGGTGTTTTTACCCAAGTAATAATCGTCAATCAAGGGTGAGTGTCTCATGTCAATAAATTACCTCCTTCCAGTCTTAAATTCTCCTTTCCCTCATCTAACACCAAGATCCCCTTTTACACACCTGCCCCATGTCCTATTTTTAGGCAGGTCTTATAACTCTTTTGCTATGTAGGCATTTTGTTCCAAAGCAGGGTTTGCATTT